GGCAGGGGGTTGGGCTGGGTGACCCACAGAGGGCCCTGCCAACCCCTGCCATGCTGGGATTCTGTGAAACCCCTACAGATCCACCAACCCAGTGAAACAGCCGCAAAGAAACAGACTGCCCTAATTCTCAGAGCAGACATTCTGCACTAGGGTGTTTTTTCTTTCCTCCCCTTAGGCAGCGGATTAGCCAGCTCACAAAGAGGTACTTTTAGGTTGGAATAAAGTCGCCCCCACAGCAAAGGCACTGGGCAGCGTGAAGTCCTGCGATAGGAAGGTCACTTCCACAAACACAAGGAGCACAGACGGACGGTCAGGAGAGAAACGAGCCCCTGCTCCGGCTCCCCCAGGACTGCGGCAGCAGAGCAATGAGCCCCGTGGTCTGGGGTGACAGCCACCTCCACGGGTCAACGAGAGCGGCTCTCCAAACCCACGTGTCCTCTAGGAGCGCGTGCGTGGTACCAGTAACAGCAGCAAGCAGGGTCTAAGCACCAGCAACCAGAACAGGGACCATGGGGCACAGGAGCCCATGTGTCCACGTCACCAGCAACCGGAGCAGGTCAGAGTTTGCGTGTCAGGGCGTGATCACTCGTGGCTATCGAGCCAGGGCGAGAGGCTTGGGAGCCAGGTACGTGTGTGTCCCTGAGCCAGAGAGCCAGAGGAGCTGGCTACCAGCCGGATCAGGGGCTCCAGACCAATGGCCAGAGGGCTGGGGGGCAGCTGAGAGACCCGCTTGCTTGTGTGTGTGCAAGGCAACTGGAGAGGGCAAGGATCCAGGGCGAACTACCGGATGAACTCAATGTGTAAGCCCAGTTACTGGCAGGATCCCAACTGGCGAGACTGGAGATCCAGAGGCAGCTGCTGGACAGAAGGCTAGCTCCTGCAGGGATCCACGTTGTACAGATGTATATAGAATCACTAAATCATAGACTCATAAAATCATTAAGGTTGGAAAAGACCTCTGAGATCACCAAGTCCAACCACCCAACACCCCCATGCCTGCTCAACCATGTCCCCAAGTGCCACATCTGCACATACTTCCCACTACCAGGCTCTCAAGCCAGAGAGGGGAGCGGAATATTGTACGCTGCGTTCCTGCAGCGCCTGCGAGCCTCTGTCCCACAAACTCCAGCCCACCAGCCACACTCACCTGGATGGCCGGGACGAGGGTGAAATACCCGATCAAGATGATCCCGAGCTCTGTCGCCATGTTCTTCATGATCGACCAGCTCTCATTGCTCAGGCCTGGAGAAAGAACGTGCGAAGACAGGTAAAGGGAGACTGGTCGCTAGTGGACAGGCTCGAGCATACCAAAAAGGGACGGGGTTTCCCCTCTTTAAAATTAGGATTCTATAGACAGCAGGCAAAAAGGCACTTTGAGGCTAAAATTCATCTGATCTATTTTGAATATCGAAGCCAAAGAACTGGACTGCAGGCTACCAACGGCTTTCTTAGCTGGATTATCGTTAACTCCAAAGGGGGCTCAGGATGACCCTCTCCGCTCACAAAACTGTCCCGATTTAAACAGCCTGAGGGTGCTGCACAAGGCAACACAGGGATTTCTATCTGAACATGAGGAAGAACTTCTTCCCTCTGAGGGTGACGGAGCCCTGGCACAGGCTGCCCAGGGGGGTTGTGGAGTCTCCTTCTCTGGAGATTTTCAAGCCCCGCCTGGACAAGGTCCTGTGCAGCCTGCTGTGGGTGACCCTGCTTCGGCAGGGGGGTTGGACTAGATGACCCACAGAGGTCCCTTCCAACCCCTACTATTCTGTGATTCTGTGATTCAGAAGCGTAAAGGACCTCTGAGTTTTGGGGTCCTGTTCTCCATCCAGGATACAAACCACTCGTCTTTTTAAAACTAGGTAGGCTTCTCTTGGCGTCGCTCCAGAATCTCTCTTCCCTGATGTCTAGAAAGACTTTTGAAGTTTAGAAATTACATTTATTTCATGGTTTGAGCATACTCTTATTCACACAGAGCGTATCAGTAACAGAGAAGATACTCTTGTCATAGACTCAGCAGAACTTCACCTGACCTGGGGCCAGCACGTAGGGTATCCACAACCCGAGAGCACAAGGTGCTAAACAGGAGATACAGCTCTCCCTTACTGACACTTTTTTAAACTTCTTTAGTCAATGCTTCAGACAACGATCTTACAAAGCAGTGCCCACAATTCCAGGCTTTTATTAATTCTTGGAATTATGAAAAATAGTACAAAAAGACTATTAGGATACAATTCCCAATTCGCGTTAACACGCACTGTCCTTGTTTCCTTCGCAGACCAGAATGGAGACCCCTCCCCATCGCCCAGTCCTTGGGTTACCCACATCTTCCCTCCCTTGACAGCTCCCAGAGCAGGCTGCGTACCTTGGGCAATGCGCAGCTTCACTTCCAGGTCAACGGGCGTGGAGACAACCGACTTGGTGAGGACCAACACATTCTCTAAGCCAATCACTACAACCAAGTATGGAAATATCTCTCTAGAGGAAACAGAACCAGAACGGAGAATGAGATCCTTGGTGAAGAGGAAGGGAAGAACACAAGCTAAGCAGCAAACACAGCCTAGAGTCAAGGTCAGGAACCACGATCCAGTGCCCTGAGCCAAGTTCCTTCTTGTACAACATTATGATGAAGTAAGGGTTCTGTGTTTCATCTGCTTTGGACAGACATTCACATTTTGGCAAAGCTGCATGATTTTCTGGAAAATGGCCACTGTAGACCACCACTAAATGAGTCTTAATGCTTGCCTCTTGCCCAAAAAGATGGACTTTGACCACCACTGCAACAGACTCAGTAATAATCAGTCAGTGAGAGAGCATTACAAATAGCAGGTAGAGAGCATGTCCCACCACCAGCAGTGAAAATCCTGCTACGACATGGCTAAAGCACTGCATTAAACAAAACTTTCAAGGAAAAATTCTCAAGTGAGGAGCACGGGCAGTGCCTGCTTCAGACACCCAGAGGGCAAAAGGTTCCACGCCCTGCAGGAGCAGTAAGCAACCCAGTCTTGGGCAGTGGAGGAGACGCGTGAAGGGACTTTATTGGGAGGAGAGAAATTCACAGAATCCCAGCATGGCAGGGGCTGGAAGAGACCTCTGGGGGTCACCCAGCCCAACCCCCTGCAGAAGCAGGGTCACCCACAGCAGGCTGCACAGCACCGCGGCCAGGCGGGGCTGGAATATCTCCAGAGAAGGAGACTCCCCAGCCCCTCTGGGCAGCCTGGGCCAGGGCTCCCTCCTCGTAGGAGAGATGCTCCAGTCCCCTCCTCATCCTCGGAGCCCTGCGCTGGGCTCTCTCCAGTAGCTCCTCATCTTTCTTGAAGTGGGGAGCCCAGAACTGGACACAGTACTCCAGATGGGGCACGGGCATGGAGCTCTGCTCGCCAGCACACCAGGCAGCTGAGAGGCCACAACACTGAGAACAACACGCAACGTACATACGCTTTGTACATAAATAAACTAAATCCTGCTGGGGACAGTTTCTACCCAAGAGTCAAGAAAACACACTGCAAGGGATTTGCCCTTTAGAAATACGCATCCAGAAGAGTAAGGCTACCCAAGGTAGTACCAGCGACAGGACGAGAGGCGATGGCCTCAAGCTGCGTCAGGGGAGGTTCAGCTTGGAGATTGGGGAAAATGTCTGTGCTGAGAGAGTGGTCAGGCCTTGGGCCAGGCTGCCCAGGGCAGTGGGGGAGTCCCCATCCCTGGAGGGGTTCAAACACCCTCTGGATGTGGCACTTGGGGACAGGGTTTAGCAGGCATGAGCGTGCTGGGGTGACGGTTGGACTTCATCTTCGAGGTCTTTTCCAACCTTCATGATTCTGTGATTCCAGGTCACCACTGTGACTTTATTCAACTCTTCTTCCTACCTCTAAACCTTTTTCTCTCTTTTGAACTACTCACAGTCCAGCTCAGAGAGAAAAAGCTGTTCTGTGCCAGAACATGGTCGATGGTAAATCTTGTCACCTCCCTCCAGCTAAACTTCAGCAAAACCAGTACAGCTTTCACTGTGGAGGGGAATGGGTTTGTGCTGTGCTTACAGACAGATCCAACGGGAGAACGCACGCATCCCCCCCCAGCAAATCACAAACAGCCACGACAGGTAAATGAGAGGGGTTCAGAAGACCCCCCCTGCTTTCTGCCGCTGCCTGTCACCACCCCCAAGGACCGTCTGCCCAACTGCCGCCTTCGATTGCCTCCAGCCAGCTGACACGGGCTTCGACGCCGTAAGCTGAAACAGCAGGAGCTCCCCTGGAAGCAGGATTACACAAACCAAACAACAAACAGCACGCACCCTTCTCCAGGCATCCCAAGCAAATTCTAGCTCTGAGAGCTGTGCACCACACCGCTCCATTCACCTCCTGCCCCAAACCTGTGCAGGAGATGAACTGCCATAGCGAAAAAAATATAAAATATATGTAAGCTGCTCATGGGCAACTTCCTGTTAATGTCAAACAATCCCAAATCTAGCAAGTATGACTCAGTCCCGCCTTTATCGAACGCGTTTTCAGTTCATAACCTGCGTCACTCCTGCGTGCAGTGGGATCCTGGGGTGCATTTGGAGGAGTGTGGGCAGCAGGGCGAGGGAGGGTCTCCTCCCCCTCTGCTCTGCCCCAATGAGGGGGCATCTGCAGGTCTGG